ATTTTTTTTGGTAAATACCTAACTAATATATCTACATAAAAATACCCAAACTAATACAAACAAATCATGAATACAAATGTTTATGGTTCGATTCCTAGCAGAATGCTAGGAATCGAAACAATAAACATTAGAGACCATCTGAACTAAGGTGGTATGTTAAACCTCTATATCAACGAGGCCGTCGCCGTTGAATTAAGGATGATTATTGCCTATATTCAACAAAATAAAAAGATTGATTGACTGATAAGCAAACAAATAAACAAAAGACATGTTCTATATATTTTCAGGTGCGTTTCTCATTCCTTTTACGGTCATGTTAATAATAGCGGGTCTACCGCTGATGTTTATGGAGCTGTCGTTTGGACAGTACGCTGCTTTAGGCCCAGTTGCTGTCTACAACAAATTCTGTCCCCTCTTCCGAGGTCTCGGTTATGGCATGGTTATAGTGTCGAGCATAGTTATGCTCTACTATAACCTTATTATTGCTTGGACAATCTATTACATGGCTGTTTCCTTCAAGAGTATATTCTATCAGCTACCGTGGCAAAACTGCGATGCTGATTGGAGTACTAAACGTGAGTATTCATTCTTCTTCTAATTTTAGTCTTCTAATATACTTATTTTACATTTATGTTTACTTTTTTACGAATATTTTTATGTAGTTAAAATGGCAAATAAATTACAATCCACCTGATGGTAAGCGGCGATATAAAGCGACCGCTTAAAAGTTTATAAAGCCTCCCCCTCTATGTGAAAAGTTCCTTGATATGTTGTAGCTATCAATCCACTCTTTTTGGAGCATTAAGGTGGTATGTCTTCATAGGCTGTAATTTCACTGCCACTATCTGCTTGGTCACTGAAGTCGAGTCAGAAGTACCATACTTTGTTCAAACTCTACTTTGTACAGTATTCTTTAAATATTGTCTGATGATGCTTTATTTGTAGATTGCTACTCATACGAAGAAGCTGACGAGTGCGAGGCAAAGAATGGGACTTATTACTTGAGACAGTGCTTTAATCAAAGTTATTCTTCGATAAATAATATCGCCGCTTTAGCTGATGTTGCTCTAAGACGACCACCTGCTGAAGAATATTTCACGTGAGTATTATGGTCACTTATTAATAAACTTTCAAATCAGTGTTAAGGACTGGGGTCCTTAAGACACTGAGACTTTTTTGTGCGAAAATGTGACTCGATATTTTGTCAATACTTGCCTTCATTGTTAACCCATCAACCTCCACTTGGGCCATTGCCTTCAGGGGATATATATCGTGGGTACACTAATCCATAACCATAAGTTTATAATTATCGCAATAAAAACTGCTAAATATCATAATAAAGAAAGTCTAGTCGATTACTAATCGTAAATGTATTTAAGCACTGCAACCTTTTATTTTATTTCAGTAATCAAGTACTTGGACTATCTTCCGGCATTGAAGAGACTGGTCAGGTCCGACTGGGGATGGCAATATGTCTGTTTGCTGCTTGGCTTATTGTATTTCTTTGTCTCTGCAAAGGTGTGCAATCTTCTGGAAAGGTAAGATAATCAGATAGAACATAAAGATATCTTTGTAATCTTATAGATTGTGCGTTAGAGAGTCTAAACGAAGCTAACGTGTAATATAAGTGGCCTATTGTCAAGTTCAGATTATTTATAGTATTCAGATTTATACACAAAAATACCTATTTGGCATGATGTGGTTTTATTATAAGCATACAATTACGTTTATGTATATACCTAATATAAAGGTATATACGAAAGATTTCTCGTTAAATATGTTTGTCTCTAATCCCTCTAAGATAGTTTTTGTGTTGATTTACAGGTTGTATACTTCACTGCACTCTTTCCTTATGTAGTATTAGTAATATTGTTCTTTCGAGGCGTAACTTTACCTGGTGCATCGACTGGTATACTCTTCTATCTTACACCAGATTTCAGTCAACTTGCCAATGCTCAGGTAATATACTATATATGTATAATAGTGATAACAGCAAACTTTCATTGTTGGCGATGTTATATATGTCATTAATATATTATACACAGGTTTGGGGAGATGCAGCTGTTCAAATATTCTTTGCATTAAGTCCTGCATGGGGAGGTCTCATTACACTCTCTTCCTACAACAAATTCTCTAATAACTGTTACATGTAAGTATTGAAGTCTTAACTATCTAAGTAAATACTTTAAGATACTTCTTAATTTATATTATTCACGGTTGCTTTTTTTACAGAGACTCATTGATCGTCGCTGTGTCAAACATAGCAACTTCGTTTTTTGCCGGATTGGTGATATTCTCAATTATAGGGTTTTTAGCACATGAATTAAATGTCGAGGTGGACAGAGTGGTGGATCAAGGTGCTGGACTAGCTTTCATAGTATACCCTGAGGTCGTTACCAGATTACCTGTGTCGCCACTATGGTCTATTCTTTTTTTTGTCATGTTATTAACTCTCGGTCTGGATTCACAGGTAATTATTGAACTGGCGAAAAGAAATTTTAATATAATACTTGCAGAAGCGATGTTTATTTATAGAACCTTAAATGTTACTAAGAAATATGATGTACTTATTTATCGAAATCATTTTGTTTTATGCATATTTTATACATTTTTTAATGTTGCAGTTTGCTCTTATGGAGACTGTGACCACAGCTATATTGGATAGATTTCCCAATTTCCGACATAATAAAGTTTGGGTGGTACTCGCTGTAGCAGTATTCGGTTATTTAGGTGGTCTTATTTTTACTACTAACGTGAGTTGATTTTTATTAAAAATTAATGTATAAATAATACTTTTGTTGCTGTAAATAACTTAATGTCATGATTTATTACTTATAGAGTGGTATGTACTGGCTTCAACTGATGGACAAATATGCGGCAAATTGGTCGGTGCTTATCATTGCTATCGGAGAATGCGTATTAATCGCTTGGATTTATGGTGCTGAGAACTTCTGCGGGGACATTCAACACATGATCGGTAAACAGTCAAAGCTGTGGGTTATCTTTTGGAGTGCAATGTGGCGTGTCATTACTCCTGCTGCTCTAGTGGTATGTGACTTAGTGTTGACGATATCTTAATAAATTAACTATCTAAATATGTACGTATTTTTTTTATATCTAGGAAACGTCGATATTAAGTGATGAAATTAATGACTGCGGTGATGGTTAGATGATCGCATTCTAATTTATTTATATGCATAAAATAATAATGTGTTTGGTATTGTTTTTATTACACATTTTTTTAAAAGAATCTTTTTGGTTTTAAGAATAGGTTATTTTATAATTGATAGATACGTAATATCAATTAAAAAATATTATTTAGTTTAAGTATTTCAGCTATATCGCATCCTATTTTGTTTGTACTTCCTTAAATAACGTAAGGTTATATAAAGAATATTTTTTTTAAGTGCCTTCCTTCTTCCGTAAATAAACAATGCGTCTTACTATAAACCACAGATAAGATAAATGTTATATAAACTAAACACACACGAATAGTTTTACAGTTGAAATGAGAATTTTTCATTTGAGATTGATAATAAATAACAATTCTTTGAATATGATTTCAGTTCATACTGATTTTCAATTGGATCGAGTACAAGCCGGCATCATATGGACACTATGTGTACCCAATGTGGGCTGATGCGGTGGGATGGACGCTGGGCGTACTGCCCGTGGTTGTGGTCGTGCTTATGGCCGTTGATCAGATTTGTAGCGGTCCGGATGATCTCACTATAATGGAGGTTAGTAATAATTATATTATAGTCAGTATTATTAACGAATGATAATGGATTTTGTAGTGCTAACGGAATCGCTGACAGCACACAAGAGGAAAACTCAAACTCAAAATTATTTATTATCTTAGAACCGGACCTTTCGCCTCTTGTACACGTTATAATTTTTTATAGCGCCGTACTCTCACTACTGTCATGTTCAACCTGCTATCAATAAAGAAGAACTGGCAAGAAACGCAAACAAATTTATATTTTTTATTAGTTTTGATCAGTTCCAATCTTCAAATACTACATACCATTTAAGTAGTGTATATGTCTTACATTTAATATGTAATACCGTTTGATGACCAGTACTCCCCATTTCTTAAATTCTCTCCCGTCAAACAATGGGCATCAAATGGTGCTCGGTCTTTGAAATATGTAGATAGTTATTTACTTCATTGGTTCCTATTTCGAGCTCCTATTATGATCCCCATTCGAATGGGATAGCAGTTCGATTTGAGGGGCAAATAAGCATTATCTTGGAAATAATATTGGAGTGCTATCGTACGGCTTCACCGGATGTTATTCTGTACTAAGGAAAACATAATTTCTGCATATTGTTAATCAAAACAATATTGTCTTGGATGAACTTGATTATATTCAGAGACATTTTATGCTTAACTTGTTACCATTTTTGAGTTTCTTTAATCAAGTATCTCATCTCAAAGTGACTTTTTCAGTTCTTCACCTACTTGTCGGTGCATCCGGGGTAATGACCGATAAAAGATGGACCCCGGAATTAAACTCATCATCGTCTTTTTCTGTGTTAAATTTCTTGATAGAAAATTGTATAACTTATAATTTCTTGAGGTACACGATCATTTCTTGATATGAACACATTTCGTGAACTTATTAAAATATATTACTGATGATGTCATTTAATATGCAACCTTTGACGCTTTGTTGTTGTTTTTTTTGGCCTTATCAATTATCATAGATAATCTATTAAATCATAAGATAATTGAGGGTGCTTTGTTGAAATACCCGCTATTTAAATAAAACCACTCATAAAAAGTAACACCATAAGAATACGTTGAGCAGCACAGAATTAAATTATAATACATGTTGCTGAGCGATTTGGTTCTCGTGTTTAATAAAATAAACAATTGTGTACTGTGGTTATAGAAAGCGCGAGTGCTGGCTAGGCCGACGGAGGAGTGGGGTCCGCAATCCACGCCGGGTGTGTGCGCGACCGCTATTCGCGGCGAGTCGGAGTTGTCGCCGCCGGTGCTGCTGCTGCATGGTCGTCCCGTGCTGCGCGAGCGCGGGGCATGACCCCCGCACACGCACCCCCTCGTTGCTATGCGTAAGGTAAAGGCACAAATCTATAAATTGTTCTGCCAGCATAATATTAGATCCATTGTGACAACCATGACAAGACGGTCACCGATTCGATTCCAATGTAAACTTTTGTATTTAAGAGTATGATTGTTCGTATTGTTTGGTTATTTTTAGGTTTTAGATATTTATTCTCATTAAGTTAATTATTTGTACTAAACAGTAACTAATAGAAAATTTAAGATTATTAAAATCAGAAAAGTTTGGTATGTCAATCCTTCTAAATGTTCTTGAGAGCAATCAACAACTCCGTAAAATTAAATTCAACATTCTACTTGCAGTTCTTATCAAAAAACATAGCGTGCAGTTATCATGTGAAAAATCTCGGCTCTTTGATAGACAGTACCTACATTCAGTTAGAATAAGCATATAAACAAGGGTATCCGTAAAATTACACTTACATTACGGAACTCATAAAGGTTGAAAAATTTCCTCCCTCTGACTACAAAAATTCTCCTTGTCTAATCATTAGTTTCTTTTCATTCACAAATTGAATAGTTTCCTATCCGATATGTTAAAAAAATATCTACGTGTACTACATATATTAATAATATGTCAACTTATAACTTTGTGTACCTACATATATTATCATTTATATATTTTGTCTTTATCCATAAGTCTCTACATTTTACAAATTTATGTTACACCTGTAATGTTTTTGTTTTGCATCTACTACTATGTTGCAATATGTTTTCTCTGTCGGCTGTACCACAGATAACATAATATTACATAGCTATACCTACTGAATATTTCTTTGCCAGGTTAGCTATTTATTTATATATGGCATGCTTTAGTATTTATTTATGTATATTTTTGGGATACATATATAACTTTATCTGTATATGGAGTATAAAAAAAATATATTTAATATTATTTGCACCGCCAACAACTTAGCTCTGCATCACCCGTCGTTGACTAGTAGAAAATGCTACTAATAGGTGTTAAGTCCGCAATATGTACATTTACCTCTGTAGTTGGTTCACTAAAATTATATAAATAAATAAAATAAATATACGTAAAATCTCAACAATGGTGGACTCGTCATAATTTTTCAATAATAGTTTTTATTGTTACTTTATGAATTTAAGGAAGAATTTAAGAAAATATAATGACATAAATTTAGTAGTATAGCGGATCATATTCCATAGATCAATTTGATTTTATTTAGATAAGTTGTAGATTATTAAGTTAATTAATAAGATATTAGGATATTATTTCAATATTTTGAAATAACTATATTTATTCAAAATATATATTTTTCAGACTTCACACGATGGTGGAGACTCCACGTCTATAACAAGTGTAACAGAAAATGAGGTAAAGAAACCAGTGGTGGGCATAATGAAGAAAAGAAATTCTATAAAACGAAAGGTGCAAAATTTCAGTCACGAATCAGATGATGCTATTATTGAACCGCTATTACAAAAAGAAAAAACGGAGATTCCGAACCAAAGTGCCAAATATCTTTTGTCTAAAACTAAGACTGACTCTATGGGTGAAAAAGAAATCGATAAAGTAAAACTATTATATGATAATAATCATGAAAAACCTTCTCTATCGTGTGCTCCTAGCGCATTCGAAGGTAAATCTCTAATCAATAACACAAAAGAAAATCATACAGATATATCCTTTTCTATTTCACCCACCACTATATATAATCATATGAACACAAATATTTTTGGTAGTTCTGATGCAGCAAAGAATATAGCTTCACCAAAAACCCAAATTCTTGTTGAAATCGATGGGAGTAAACAAATAGGTTACAATCCGAGCTCATTAATTTTTACAACAGCTAAAATTCATGCGGATGGTCAAACAAAACATATGGAACCGGTACAAGTAACGCCAGTACCGATTCTTTCAACGATTGAAGGTAATGTTGTAAAATCTGCAAGTATAATTGATAATGAAAATAAAATTTTACCTGTATCCGCTGCTAAAATGACTACGGCCCTAAATTCAATTTTTGCCCAGAGCGCAAATGATCCTAAAGGTCTTAATGATCAAAAGCCAAACACAAGTGACTTTATTTATAATAATACAACATGTTCAGAGCAATTAAATAAATTGACAAATAAAAAATTAAATGAAAATAAAACTATACAAAATGTCTCCTCAGATTGTGATTTTATTAAATCTACAATTGAAGAAGTTACTACAATGCCAATTAAAATAAACAAATCTGAGACCAGTACACCTTCTCAAAAAACTCCTATAAGTAACTCAAAATTAAGTGACATAGAAAAAGAAATTGGTACATGTAGCACAGTCACAAAACAAGATTCTTCTGTGAATGTACAAAGTACCATAGACGTGAATAAAAATATTGAATATGGAAATATTCCTGACAAAAAAGTTCTTCCCGATGTTTGTAAGGCAAAACAATTACAACGTCAGAATAATGCTACAGTAGAAGATGCATGTGATAAAAATACGTTTTATAATAATGATACAAAAGAAAAATCATACAAATCATCCTCAGGTTTCATTACTAAGTGTACTGTATCTGAAACAGCAAATGAGACAACAAAAAATGTAGTAAAAAATGAAATATGTTCTAAGCCAGCACCAGAATCATTAACTTCTTCAATTACATCAGCGAAGTGTTCCAATGTAACACCAACAATAAAAGAAACTACGACAACGAGTCTTCAAACGATGGTATCTAATGGAGTAGTTGTTACTTCAGCAGATAAGACAATAACATCGTGTACGTCCACCTCAACAATTATAACACCACTATCGGAAACTAAGTGTTCTGCATCGTCAATTTCGATGACTAATAAATCTAGAATATTTGATCAGACTACTTCACAAGTGCAATCTATAGTTACTAGTACAACAACAACATTGATACCAGATTTATCAACTGATAAATCAATTGGAAAACCTTTGACAACCGTCATTAATAAATCAGCAATAACTAAAACTACATCTACAGATTTATCATTTGGCGTAAAGTCACCAGCAACATCGTCAACACATCACAACATAGTTTCGATAACTGCGGAGGACAAAGTTTTATCTAATAAACCTGTTTTGACAATGGCGTCGTCTATGGTTAAACCTGCCTCAACACACAAACCTGCCTCAAGTATAGAATTGTCAACGGTTAAGCCTAATATAGTTACAATAGCACCAAATAAGTCTATAACGACAACAGCTACAGTTGCTCAAGCTATACCAACGAAATCATTGGTAAACAAATCTTTAACCACAGTAAATTCATCAACTACTAAATTAACATCAGTTCATACGCCAATTAATGTTACGACATCATTATCTTCAGTACCATCAAAATTAAAACTAACATCAACGTCCCTATCGTCAGTGAATAAACCTGTGACATCTGTTTTATCAAATAATAAACCTACAGTAACAACTTCGACAACGACAAGTGCATCGCACCAAGATAAACCTTCAACAGTTAAAACTGTACTTCAAAAACCCATAGTTTCATCAGGAAATAAAACTTCAACAGTTAATCCTACGGTGACTCATGTTACATCTTCAAATATAACTTTTACTGCAGTCAAAACTACGTCATCGTTAGCGATGACTTCCACTGCTCCAATTGTGCCAACAACAGTCTCAAATATATCAATATCTCCAAATTCAGCGTCTACCGCATTAAAGTCAACTAAAATGACAAAATCTAAGACGGACAATACAACCAGATCTGCCAAATGCTCTGAAAAATCGCAAGAGAAGACGAACTCTACAACCAATACTTTGTCGACGTCTAAAAAGAGTTCAACAACTGCTGTGAGTGAAGAACCGACAAATGTACTATCTGCCACAAAAACTACACATTCAAGAAAACCTTTAGTTACGACTGATAATTCAGCAGTTACGAGTAAACAGTCGTCAGTAAAACCCACCACAACTAATATTAGCATTTCCACGGGTAATTCTGTTAATACTTCACAAAGTGCAAATGAAAAGCCTGTTACATCTACATCATATAAACAAAATGAAAAATCTAATGAACATAAAAATTTTAATGCTTAACATTTATCATACAATAGATGATTCCGCCGCTCAATCCAAGGTGATAATTACGAGTATCTTTGTTATTATAAAAAAAATATACCTACATATAAAAACATATTATATTGTCATTCCTCTATGTAACATTTGTACAACACAGTAAGTGTTGCAAAAGTAGAATAGATAGTTAGGTACATGTTAATAAAACACTTCGAGTTTAGAAATTAATAAAGTCTTTGTCAGTTGAAAGAAATAATTAAAATAGTTGAATAGTTTGTACATACAAGTATAAAAGTAATAAAGAAGTGTAGTCTGCGAATTAGATATTATTACGTACATCTGGGACTGTTGGATCTCACACATTAAAATTTTGAAAAAAACACATGTGAAGGGCTAAGGGGTAATAACAACTTAAATAATTTGGTTCAGGGTAGACTATATAAAAATATTTGCAATATGATAATTCTGCTCATAAAATGAAAGGAATTGACAATGAAAAAGAACTTTATATTATAATTTTAAGAGAAAGAAAAATTATGTATTCATTTTCTAATATAATAATTATCAAGTCAAGTCATTTAATATTTTTATTTACAATCACAACAAGATTGAGATTGTAATGCAATTACAATTATGTAAATATATCCAAAGCTTCGATTTGATAGTAGGTTAGTGGTGCTACGAAAGACAACAATATTTTTCATAGACAATATTATAATATTTTCGAGACCATTTAGAGATGATTTCATTCATCTCGCACATCGTCAATTTATACAATTATTTAATGAAAGAAAATGACAAACATATTTAACGTTTCTACTTTATATTTATCTCATGAACAAAGAGAGAAAACTAATATAAACGCAGGGTAGCGACCGATAATACGAATATTATTTACAAAATTTTATATTACATTATAAAATTTTTACATTTAAAATTAAATACCACAGCATGAACGATGTATCTAATTATAGATACATATTTTACACTTTGTTTAACTTTATAATCTACTTCGAATCTTTATCTATAGAACAGTGTGATTTGGTCGTGAATTATAATTAATTTCGTTTTAAGAGGGCACCTACCTATACTTCAGGTTTGTATACCCATGTAGAAAAGGAAAAATGACTATGTGTGAATAATAGTGACAGTGAAAATAGTGCGGAAATTATAAAATAACATATTGGTGCCAAATTTTATTTTATTTTTTACTATATAGAGATGGGAAATCTCCAATACCTAATAATTGGAATATCGCTGAGAAAAACAAAATAACTAACATTATCACGTGCTAATTAGACCTAATTAAAGATATTGAAGATTTAGAGTTAATGTTGGACGCCCAGATTGCCAATTATTAGAAATTGGGATAGGTGCCCCCTTACATCTAGACTGAGTTAATGGATGAGAAATTTTATATAAAATTTACCTTTTAGAACGGTCAAGATTCAAAGAATCTTACAGCTCTAAGAACTTTAGGGTGTTTATTTTCATGTGTGCACATTTTACACGGTATCGTGGCAATATTACCTACCAATAGTAACCACTGTGTCCTTGTACTTACTCGTACGTATAAAAACAACAACAATATAAAAGACTCCATAGAGTGCTTAGGTAGTTTAGGTACCTACTTATTTATGCATCTAGTTATTATTATAATAATTGTCAAATATAAATATAACAAGAACAACAATATTTACAAAATGCAGCTACATAGGCTTTTATAGTTTTAGAATTATACTACGAATAATATTAATGCAAGTAGTTACACGTCCAGCTACAAATTAATTCCGTCTGAGATATGCACAAAAATTATATAATTTCTGATACCTACGTAGGGAACCTGTCAATATCGCTCAAAAACGTAAGCTACTTTTTCCGGATAAATCTTGTTCTTCAACTACGTTCAAACCATCAACCCAACGAGTTTTACAAATTTTCCTATTAGCTAGTCTTATTTACACTTTATGCTTAAATTATACACTATCGTATTTTATTATTTTATATATAATATATATTTGCATCTAAAAGCTATTATCAAATAAAGATTGGAATATTTTGATTCATCCTTAAAAATCCATATTAAAATAATGACTTACCACTACTCCGCACCTTATAGGACCGTACTTATTTCTGTCTAGATTGAGACCTTAAAAGTGTTCAGATATCAAATTGATCAAACACTTATTTATAATAAAAAAGACCGGGGCTTGCCATTCTACTGCCTGTTCTATATGTAAGATTTTAATTGTACTCGTATATCTGTTTGTATTATGCCATAAATGTCGATCGTATTCTTACCTGTATAATATTGATTATGTCTGGGTTTTTTGAAACGGTACCGTGCTGACTAAATTTTTTTCTATTTAAAATATTTTAATTTAATTTTGTATAACTTCATTTTTTAAGCAGTATTTTTTAATATTTGTATTGCTGAAATTTTTGATGTGGTCACAGAATTTTTGAGGTGGCAAATCGTAAACCTAGTAATCTGAAATTGTCCGCAATGAATTGAAATATGTAATTATTAGTACTATATTACGCTTAGTTTATGTTTTTGTTGGATTAAAATTCGAAAATTTTCTATTATATTTTTTTTTCACAAAAAATACAGGTTAACCGTTTCGGTTTCGAATATTGCCATGTTTTTTAGAAAAAAATATTGAATTTCATAGTTACTGTAACGTAGACCTGCGCAATAACATTTTGTGCGATATCTTAGAAAAGCTTCTTTACAAAAATGGTCGCTGAGGGTTCTCATTTCAGTAGGCCGTCTCAATTTTAATGACCCTTTAAACAAACCTTTAATATTTATCTAACTGTTGAATTATGCTTGCAAATTGCTTAATGTTAACTTATAATAAATATATATTTTATATTGGTTAAGATTGTTAAGTAAGAATATTTTTATACTTACTTTAAGTTGTGTAACTACCGAATAGAGTATAATTTTGACATGTCTAGGATCATGCTATAAAAAAGATTTAACAAATATAATATGAATATAATCCTTTAGTAGGAGCTTTATGTATTTATGAATTTTATTGCACTATAAAATATGTTAAGTAACTTCAATTTAGATGACTAGGTATGTACAATTTGAAAGTAGGTAATTTAAGGCACTCTCCTCAGCCTAGTGTTGCTATTATCGTATTAATTGCATCTATGAAAGTTAAATTATTGGCCACATAAAGAGTTATCACAGAGTTTTCTATGATGTCCAAGGTGGCGGTCATCAGCTAGTTTATTTATTTTTATTTAAAAAAATATATACTGGTAATGCGTGAAGTATTATGGGCGTAGCAGTATATCCTGTGATGTCTATGATGTTTATATAAGGGACGTTTTGTTAAGATTTTCTATTAGGTGGGTCCTTAGATCACTATACAAATAGTATGAAAAAAGTTTGTTTTGAAAACAAGCTTGGAATGTTGAAATATGTGATGTTTAATACAGTAATATTGAAAGAGATTTACTGATGTCTACCTTATCTCAATTTCTATCTGTAACTATACCAAAGGACATCAAAAAGGGGTTGTTACGGACAAACGGTGGACACAGATTTGTGAAATTGAGAATTATATGTTCAATTCGGGCCGAACGGGAGCGCTTTAAGTAATGTATCAAATCATGTTAGTAAATTAGACTTGTCGTTTAGATATTTTACTCAAATTCTAGAATTATAGTAAGCATAGAAGAATAATACGATAACGATTATGTTGTTATTGTTTTTTAGACGAATTTATTTTGATAACTATCATGTTTTAGTCTCTACTTGATGATTTTATAAAAAGAACTTACACTTTATAATATTATAACTTTTATTAATAAAATATAAATCCACCTATTTATTATAGGTATGTCTCCACATTAGTTCCCCGTATGTAACACAGATACGATTGTAATGAGTGAAGGTAGTAGATGATATTCGTGCATGCGTTTAATTACTTATTATGTGCGTAGGCGTATGACGAATGCGTTTAGAGCGCCTGTCAGAATAGTAGTTACTGCATAGTGCGGCACAAACGCACCTGCTAGGCAGGAGTTGTGCGCACCCATACAGGGCAATATGGAGAATGACGTGTATTTGATATACACACTAGGTATTTCAAATACGTACATTTCTACGTGACAATTAAACACGCCTAATTGAATAGAGATATTGTTGTTACAACTTGATGTATTTTAGAGAATTATTGATTAAAAATCGATGTTACATAGATGTTTATTGTAAATATTAGATAATTGAAGCCAAAGGTGTATGACATGTTCTAGATTGTTATAGAAGGCTGTATTTTTTGGGTGATATTTTAGAAAAGGACGGCAGCATATCTTTGATAATATTATTTAAAAAAACACTGAACGAAACGGGAAGAGAACGGTCATAGGAATGGTAAATGATGTGATAAATGCTAAAAATTTTAGTTTTAGTGTTGTTGTGCTATTAATAAAATATGTTCAAATGTGGTATGCGTTTTATTTTTTCTTTAAATCTGAATTTATTATTTAGCATTAAGAATTGTGACTTTAATATGCAAATATCATTTAGGTCACTTCACATATTTTGACCAATTAGGAACGTTTAGCAGTACTTCTGCATTTAGGTAGTCCTAATGATAACACATTTAATATGAGTCCAATAATTCCTATTACTAGCAATCCCCTCCACTTACATAAGGCATCAAATGTATCATAGGTAAAGCCAATGAAATTTTCAATTACTTAATCAATCATTTCATCGGGGAAGCCAAAGAACCGGCACACATTAGCTGTAACAATTACACTGCGTAACATGAATTTTGCATTGAAATAAATTGCAACGCAAAGGCTTTTTATCACTGTGGATATCGTTGAACTTTCTTTTGCTGCTTTTATTTCACCATTCGTGTCGTGTCTCTGTGTGGAGCGCACGCTTGCTACAAGCCGTTGTCTCGACTCGGTAAACACCGCTGATTTTAGTTTCAACCGGTAATCGTCAGCCCGTGCTATGACATCGCCTCCACAACACAGGCCAACCGTGAATTTTAATTTTTAAACAGTAAAATCATCGGTATCAACAGCGCATTGGTATTTTGTGAAACAGTGAAGCAGTTGAAAAGAACATGGATTCTTAAATAAGCAATAAGTGAAATGGAACGTTGATTTACAGTCAATATTGTATAATGATTCGTTGTTCTATAGTTAGAAGTGAAATAACTGTTCCGCTGGAATTTTAATTATTACGGTGAAATGAAAAGGTAGGTAATATTACCTGTTTATTTATCTTTTTGGGCTATTTATTTTCTTTGTTTTTCAAATATTTGTCTACAAACTTGATGGTTGAAAGTTCCTATTCTGATCCATTGTACATTAATGAAATTCAATTTAAACTGAATAGCGAAACTGTTGAATTTATAGATTTTAATGTTTCTCATGAAAAGTCATAGGGGGAATACCTAAGACAAAAAGCTTTACTTTTAAATTGATTTCTGGAGCGTATGCATCACGCAGATTTAGATAGTAGTATTATTATTAATTAATGATGTATAATTTTAATACATTAATGGTCATAGTATAATCTCATATGGGGTATCATTGTGAGATAAATCAGCTGACAACAAAAATATCTTGAGAAAACAAGAACACTCATTCGTAGGATGCACTATAAAGAAGTATGCGACGATAAAAGATTTTTATGAAGTTTCTGATTGACACACACACATAAGTACGTACATATTATTACACCTTAGGAATCTAAATTGAAATTGTCAAAACTCTTTGTAAGGTTAGAAACAATAATATGGAAAGGTTATTTTTAATGGTGGTTAAAATGTTTCAGGCAGGAACATAAATATTACTATACAATAAATGCAATAAAGAGTATATATAAAAGGTAAAAAACAAATTTTAAAGCCATTTCCTTTCAAATATACTCCATATTTGAAAGGAAATGGCTTTAAAATTTGTTTTTATTGCGTATTAAGCTAATGGCATGTGAAGAGGTCATGTATCAATCTACCAATCATATAAAATTTGATAAATATGTCATCACTGTCTACAATATTATCAATGAGTGATCGGCAGCAAACATCTCAAATTTCTTTAGTTATATATTATAAGTAGTTTAAATATTTATCTCTAGTCAGATGTCTTTATCTCGACAAATTTCATACTCCTTATATGTGGCGGAAATGAATAAGAATGTTAACAATGATGTTCTGTCTATATGTTCTGTCTAAATTGTTGAATTTGCTTCAGTATAATATTATACTTGGACAATTCATATAGGGCCATCTAGTCCCAAGGTAAGCAGAGCGTGTCTGTCTGGATGTCTAATCCATAACACAAGTCTCAACTCTGCTTAGTGTTAGATTTACTTATATGCATTTCTTTTGTAAATATTATTCATAATATAAATAGAAAATATCCAGATCAATACAAACAAGAACTTAAGAACACATATATTGTGCCTACAAGGATTTTTTTTCGGAGTAATGTAATGCTGTTGGCCGCAGATGGCCTTTACAGCTTTACCGGACGTTAAGGGGCGAGTGCAGAAGGCACTCCTAACCCGCGGAAGGACTTATGGAGCGGCTGAAGGCCAACTCCTGACGGATACTGATTGGATAGGGGCTCGATTGGAGGGGGTACGGGGGATCGATCGGGGGGGTCCTACGAGGAGTCGAAATCGCGACTTTTAGAATTAAATCGGTGTGCTAAACCGCTAGACCAGCCAGGTCATTTATGTCTATATTTGCGTTCTGCATATTGTATGTGTTGTAAAAAGAGCAAATATATATATATATATATATATATTTATATATATATATATATATATATATATATAAATATATATATATATATATATATATATAAAGAATCAGTTACTAAAACGAAATATGTAAACATGTACATGTAAACAAAGTTACTCAAGTTGGGTTTTGGTTGTTACGAAACCAAAATTGTAAACGCAAACTGAGGCAATATAAAAGTAATCAAGATCCGTTAAGACTTTTCAATAGTGTGTATCTATTATATATATCTATATATTTACAAACTAGACAACCTTTATTAACATTTATGTACTGCTGAACAGCCCTGAGCCACCAGCATTTCATATCATATGGACGTTACATAGGACTTCTTTATATTAGGACTCCCTTCCCCATACAAAAATTATTATTATTTTAATTCCACGGTATCGATAGAGAATATTAATACAAAAATAACATCGACTTACTCAGTCCACTAAAATAACATATTCCCATTTTCTTAACTAGATACTTAATTTCAAAGTTACATCCTCGTCTGCAAAATGCTAACAGATGTAGTTTATCTCGTTTTGTAAAAGAGGAACCAGTCTTGCATCCTGTCACTCAATCCTATTTCATCGAGTTGGATATTAAACGGTAGCTATTTCCGGTTTACATTTACTATATAGGTAGGTACGTATAATATAAATTTATATTTTTAAAGGATTTAGAATGTTGGTCATTACCGAAATTTAAATACTGACGATCCGTTAAAGGCATCTCTTCATACATATTTACTTTATAGTACCTGAGTAAGAACAATCATTTTTGTTTTCAGATTGGAATCTTATTTTGATATTATTGGTTATTAATTAAAGTGTACCATGTCGACGGAGGTTTGTTAGGTGGTGGCTAGCATCGTTTGAATGGAATCATATAAATATACAATTACTGGGTTCTTTCGTTCTAGGTCTTTAAATCGATTTTAGTTTGAGGAATAAATTACTACATTATGTAAAGATTTATTACAACCATATTATGTTATCTATGTTACTACATTATCTGTTGTAGGTAAATGTGTGCAGTTGATTGTACAATGCACTTGACATTATTGTCTTTTCTTTACTAAATGCAACTGTAAGTAATAAATATTGTAGCTACCTTTAAACAAATACCGTAACTAGTAAACATTTGTAGAGATTTAGAAACAGTTAGAAAATAAATCTCGTCGCTTGTATATGGAAGCGTGTGAACAGAAACTACCAATGTCGTTCCTCAGCTCACTTTCCATCCATTCATGGAATCATCAGCTTTTTTAAATGATTTCTTACGCCCTGGTCTATATTTGTAAGTAACTTTCTATCTTCACATCATATCACAAGAAAGTTACTTGTCACTTGTTGACGGGATGATACCGTAATATCCTTGAAGGAACAACAATATCCAGGAACGGTTTTCATCTATGTAGTGGTTCTGAATTGGTATAGAATATTTTATTATGGATAGTCCTTTACCTATTGCAAATTACACTTCGTACACAGCCGTCGTCGTGCCTCTATTTTGCCTATTTCTGCTGTCTGCCTGCGCCACATAACGTCATGTTTTCAGTGTTACTGTTAACAGATATATAGGTGTTGCGACTACTTTTTTCATCTGGGAGCTGCTAATGATGTCTAACTAAAAAGAATGAAGTGGAATAAACTAAAGACAAAGTACTAAATTGATAAAGACTGTGACAGAGATGACGAATTGAATAATAGATTTTAAAAATTCCTTATATAATGTTCACTATGGGCGAAGGGGGTGGCTCAAGACTAATAAGGATTCGCTAATAACAAATAAGATTTTATTAGGTATACGTCAATGAAACCCGTAAGTCTTTTGGTTTCATACATTTATAGCTATGTATAACATTAAGTTACCCTGCAAGTGTAAGTATATCTATATAATGTAGGTAGGTGCCTAGTTGCGCAAGTTGGTACAGTGGCAGGGCAGTGTGCACTTTGTTTCGAATCTTTCCCATCACCTGCTGTGGGTACTATTATTACAAAAGTCGACAGTTTCTATTTTGTTTAAATCCCACCGTTTCTTAAGATGTCTCAACTCAAACTCAACGCTTTTTAATATTGTTCATTGGACACTGTATACGATGTAAACATCTTTTGTTGTATTCATAGAAAGTGCTAATTGAAAATAATATTCTTGATAAAGTAGAAGTACTATCAAATAATTATTGAAACATTTATTAATTTTTTATTAAAACAACAAAATACTTTAATAGTATTCGACAGATATTAACCCTCGTACGTGATAAAGTTAGCAGTAGCAGTCGTATACATCTAAACAATACTTTTTGATATATTTAAATTTCATTTGTTTTATTTTATATACCTACTATGTCTTTCTCTAAATGTTCTTAAGGAGTAATAATCATAAATTTTCATTTGTTTTTATTTAAATTGTATACAATGCTCTGGAGATGGGCGTAAATAACTGCAACACAGTTTTTGTAAACTAATGTAGTTGTTTACGTTTAACATGTTATTGTCATAACTTTGGTTTTAGTTTAAATAAATTCTTTAATTCTAATAATTTAATTGTAAAAAAATATTCAGTCAGTTCAGGCTATACTTTGGTACATGATAAAATTACATATTTTAATCAAACTTACTATAAAATATCAATATCACAGATTTTCAACATGCAATAGGTTCTTATACTTTAGGTCGCTTATAAATATAGTAGGGCATGCAATGCAGCCTATAGATACCTAGTACATGCATAGTTTCTGACAAGAATACGGTATGCGGCCCAGAGGTCGGAGGCGGTTAATTGGCGAGGATCGTCGCAGCCAGCCGGTTTGTCCGCTGGTCACTCTTTTACGACATTCCTACACGCACAATAACTTAGCTTCGTTTCTCTATAATATTAGTTAAATATCTTGGTGACTAGGAGAATAAAGGAAGAGAACAATACTGATTTATGTGTTTAAAACAATTAAAACATACAGTATAATTTTTATTTTCAATTAAGATATATGAGTAATAGTTACATTATGCTAATAGTAAAGTATAGACGAGGAAAAATTTGATACAGATTATTTCCGAATTCCCGTTAAGTAACGAAGGGTATAAGTATAAAATTCGTTTTTTAAATAGTTGATGAGTCAAAAAAAAGAACGAAGAAAAAAAAAATATACACATGGTACTGTAAAAAATTAGGTAGGTATATACTTTGTTGTTTGGTATTGCATGCGGGAATATAGTGAATTCGACCAATTTTGTAACCTGATCCCCCGCATTGACGCAAAGGTTTCCCCGGTATAGCCGGAAATTAGGAATCCCCTCGAAAATAAACCTCCCCTTCACTATGTAAAAGTTATTGTACTGTATCCTAGCAATATTGATCCATCAAATATTCCGTTTAAGTTGAAAGAGAAACAATCACATATAAAGGACATACATGCGTAAATGATAAATATGCATAAATAAAAAGAATCTTGATAG